ACAATGAAAATTAATTTTTATCCAGTTAACTTTTCTGATCGATAATCGACTATCCCGCTCTCAGATCGTGTACGAGTGAAAGAAAGGTCTCCATTTATTTTAGACCATGTCTGTTAGCATGAAGATAAACAATAATTCTTATTGGACAACGTAACCACGACCAATGAAGGATATAGATCATATCTGACTTTTTTTCTTTTCTCTGTTGAAATATCACTCATCTCTCTCTCTATCTTTTTGTTTTCAAACTTCCTTTGAGTTGTCCGTATGTGAAACATCCATAGAAACAAAGAGTTTGTGCTCATCGAGATAATCATCTTGTATCTCATTGAATAATTCTAACGACTTTATCTTTCATTCTGCTTGAAATGTAGACCATTCTATCATATATAAAGACAGTTAAAGTAGCAAAATACACATTAGCCATGAAATCATAATCGACACTCATGATTTTTTGTATTTTTGTTTCCATCTTGTTCGTACATTATGTACAGGCACGAGATGAACTTAATTCGACTGGAAATAATTGAGCATTTAGCTGCGACTTAGTAGGCCATGATTTCCAGAAAGTCTTTGTTCCTCGCGATGAATGCAATGGAAGATGTAGTGAAACGTCAGCATGTACTCATTTCGCTTGAAGACGATGGAATGGAGGCATCTGCTGGCTGAAAAAAGTTAAAATTACCAAAGTTGATTTTTATATGTCCAATGATCCAAAGGTGATCTGTGGAATAAACGAAAATACGACGAACTATGTTAATCGAAAACCAGCAACAGTAGTGAACAACAGCTGGATGAAACTACGGAAGCTGTCGATGAAGACATAAACATCTTAGATAAAAAAATTGTAAAGTTCTAATTCGTTTTTCTTTATGTATAAAATAGATTTTCAGTTGAAGATTGTGTAGGAATAAATGAATGTGATTCGTTCATCGGTCTTTTTTTCCTTGTTGTTTCAGATTCATGTATGCAAAATCATTTTCTTGTCATAGAGTCTTCGTGTAATTGATATTTGCCTAGCTATCTTCGGTTCTCATGTTTTTTTCATAAAGATTTAAAATAATAAATAATTCTCTCTTTGTATGTCGTCTGCACAAATCAAATTTACACTACAGTGCGGTGTTTCATAGATGCTGATACTGATAACCAGTATCTATAGTGGTTGTGTTCATCGTATTATGTTTTCCACCAGGAAAAAAATAAAAGTAATCAGAAAGGATGTCTGGAATTTTTTCGAAAAGCTTATCTAAATAGCCTATTATCTGCTGTGTTCATAATAGAATGATATTATATGAAATATGTAGTATGAAATTCTGTCTTTTGTCAAGATTATTGAACTTATCGTTTGGATTTACATAAGAGATCATTTAAATCTTTCATAATAATATAAAACTTTATTAAAAATCGTTTATATCATCGAGAGAAAAAAAATCAATATTTTACCCATTATTTTGTTAATAATGATCTCATATACGATATTTTTCTACGTGTTTGACATCAAATTTTCTCCAGTAAGGGTGTGGGTGTGGTGGATGTGGGTGTAGATATTTGTTTCAACGAGACAGTCACAGTCACACCCGCACCCACACCCACACCCCCGAAAATCGAGTCTTTAACTGTTTTAGAAAGTAGCATACCAGAACTTGAAAAGTGTAGACGACGTATGTTTCAAAGTTTTCTTAGATCTACTTACGATGTGTTCGATTCTATACAAAGAACGTTTAATTTAGAAGATAACTCTGTGTATCAACCAAAAAAAAATTGAAAGAACTTGAACAAATAGTCCACATGAATGATATAGATTCATCCGAAAAAATTAATTTTCTTCAAAAAAAAGGATTTAATAGTTTTGAATCTCTTTGTGCCAAAATTCAAGAAAAGAAAGGAATTATTATTGAACATGAAAAAAATAAACAATCGTATGGTTTCAGTGGCAATTTCGATGGATCAGTAGCACATCTTGCTCTACTATACTTGAACCAGTGCGAAAAAGTATGCAATGTTAGTGTAAAAGAAATTGCTATTAATACAAACGGACTATTGAAAAAGTGCATCAGTGAATATGGTCATTTTCTGAATCAAGAAATAATGAGAAACTTTAAGAGTATTCTTAGTATTGACTATAGAGAAGACTATTTTAAATATTCGAACGATTTAGAAAAATGAATACGAGAATTATCTTCTCTAAATAGATTTTCTAATGTTTTTGATTGTATAGATGGAGCCAAGAAACAAGAGAAATTGTGTCAAATATTTACTGATTATTATCATAATCTAGCCGATAAAATGGAAGAATTAAAGATATCCGATAATAATAGAGAACTACAAGTCCGACTCAACATTGCACAAGCATTGAGTTGTATAGATAGTTTCTGTGCTTCTGCGTCTGGAGGCAATGGATTTCGAGCATTGCACAGAAAATATCAAGTTGAAGCAAACAGACAATATAAAGCAGTTTATACGATTATAATCGAAAATATATCAAAGGGAGATTATGAAAATGTAGCTATACCATTATCTGATATCGATGAGAAATCGTTAAATGAAAGAGATTTAGCTCAAATAAAACATGATTTAGAAAGTTCTTTGTACAAGTTGATGACAGATACTAAAAATATTGTACATATTTTCTGTGATAATATCGAAAGAGAGGAAGATACAAGGAGTCAAATACCAGAAATGAAAGAAAAAATTGAAAAAGTTCATATTATTTTGAATAAAAATAATCTTACAGAATTACTTGATAAGAAAATGAAAACCAAACTTGAAACATTTATTGATGATATCGATAAAATTTTACCAGATGTTCTTCTACGAGGACTAAATGCTATTGAAACTCTTATAAATACTAATAATTTTTTGGAAGCAGAACAAGGTATAAAAAATTTTAGTCATATACATCGTGAGTTAGGTAACTGTTGTACATCGACTGCAGTGAAAGAAAAAATTAAGGAACTCAGAGAAAGCTTAGATGGTATAGTTAATGAAATCTTACAACGTGATTTTGAAGATATTAGTAAATATTCTCTGAAGTCACCGAAAGATCTTTACGCAAAATTAAAAATGGTTGCATTACGTGGTAATGTTCGATTTAATCAAGCTTGTAATATTATGTTGGCAAAAATTAGGCTAAATTTCAGTGCAGCTATAGATAAAGTGCGTACGGTATCATCGGAAGAACGTATAAAAAAAGTACGATCTTTGAATGATGCATTATGTTTTTTATCAGATGAATTACAAGGTCAATTCAAAGTACAGATCGATGAAGAGAAAGCACGATGACATGACTTAGACGAAACTCTACAAAACGTAGATGATGATGATCGTGCTATTAGAAAACTAGGTACACTAGCTCAGCATTATAGTAAACAGAATGAGAATGAACTTTTTGAAACTTTAAAAACTGGAACTTTAAAAAAGTTGTATATCTATCGGGAAAATGTAACGAATGCATTAGATCAACAAGATATGCAGTTTGCTATCAATATCATGAAGAAAACCTTCAAATATAAAGAAACCTTAGGTTTTTATATTCCAGAGATAGAAACAATTAATAAAAATATTCGTGATATGATAATAAAAAACTTTTTGATTTGTTATGACAGACTTGTCAATCTATCCACGATTGAACAAGCACATATTGTCGAAGAAGCATTTCATAGTGTGATCGTTTGTATTAGTTTTTCGATTACATTTCATGGAAAAAAAGAACAGTTACTTCCTGAACATGTGTTAGATAAGGGTAGTGACGCATTTCAAAAAAATTTACGAATATTTGTATGAAAATTCTGAAAAATATCGTGCAGCCATCAGAGATATGCATATTGTTGAGTTACATAAAACTTTGATCGTAGCTAAAAGATGTCATGGACTTCTGCAAAACATTATTCAATCCAATGCTTAATGAAAGATATAGTGAACGTAATACCGTTCTCAAATATGATTATTGAACTGCAGAAAGAGATTAATCATTTAAAAGATCAATTAGATGTTGAACTCATTAGTTATGACACAACGCAGTTCGAAAAAAAAATGTGAGGAATTTTTCAACAATCTTATAAGACAAATGAGTACATTAAAAGAGATCGATTCCAAATTACAAGATATTCTACCATTTAAAATGAATATTGATAAATTAGAAGAAGAAGAATTTAAAAAGAAGATCCAGAAATTAGGTACTCAACTACTTACAATTGCATCAAAAGACGAATTGTCGATACGAGATTCTGATCAATTTCGAATGCTTTATAACCATCTAGCATCATTGATCAAATATGCAGCTAGGATAGGATTCGATACTCGACAATTTTTAGATACATCAGAAGAAAAACTTTTTGATCAAGTAATGGTTTTGAGCAAAGAAATAAGATGTTCGAGTTCGAATATTCAAAAGGTCGCTCAATTGTTAACTAAAATGAAATTTCTTGTTGAAAATTTATCGGTGTTCGATAGTAAAATCAATAGGGAGATCGATGGAATTCTTAAAATTTACAAACAAACAAAAAGTCCAACAGCACTTATGCAGTTGACTATGATATTAGAAAAAACAGATATCGGTGCACGACTAATATCTGAACATTCTGCTTTAAGTGGAGAAGACTGAAGAAAGCGACGTGAAAAAATGCAAAATCAAGATAATCTAGAGTATGTTCTGAAAGAAATAGCTGGCGACGATATTGCAACAGATATTTTAGCCACATGTTATCAGACTTTTCGAGCAACATATGATGATACAATATCTCGAATATTGACAGTATTTGATCAGAAAAAAGATAATGAGCCTGATTTAGAAGCATTGATCAATAAAACTAAAGCTCTTGTTGGAAGAGTAACTTTAAAATCGAATACTATTAAGTGGGATCATTCCTTTGGTGATAAAATTCCTGAGTTATTGGCATATATTTTTGCTGTATGGACTTTAAAGAATACGCAACATTACAATGCATTGCGTGGTATTGAATCTGCACGTGCATATTTGTTAATGCTTCATGTTGTACAAGTTCTTGCTATTTTTCGTATTCTTGGTATTGGTTATAAAAAACATCAAAGAAATAGAAGATCGAATAAACCTGTAGGCGATAATATATCTGATGATTTGGTTAATAATCTAATAGAAATAGGAACAGGTGAAGGTAAATCAGTTGTGATGGCAGTAACAGCTTGTGTTTTTGCTCTCATAGACGTCGATGTCAAATGTTCATGTTACAGTGAAATATTGAGTACACGAGATCAGAATGATTTTGCTTCAGTTTTTCGTGCTCTTCGAGTAGAACAATGCATTGAATATGGTACTTTTAATAAATTATGTGAAAATCTATTGAATGAACGATGTAATGTTCGTGAGAAAGTGCGTGATATGATTATCAATAATAAAAGCGTCATATCCGTAGTTGAAACAACTGCATACTTGCGTCCTAAAGTGTTGTTAATCGATGAAGTAGATGTTTTATTGAGCGACAAATTTTATGGTGGCACGTATACACCATCAGTATATTTGAAAGATCCTTCCATTAAGACTCTTTTAGATGCCATTTGGCATAATAAAACATTACGGAATTTAAACAGTGTTACAGCAACATCAGCATATCAAAATTGTGCTGCTCGATTTAGTAATTGGACTTTTCTACTCGATGAAGCCATTAAAGATATGATAGCAGCATTACAATCATTTCAGTCTTCGACTCATATTATTCAAAACGATAAAATGTAGTTCGAGGTTACGATACAGTTTGGAGTTATTATCAAGAAAATCAAAATGGTTATATAAGCCAACGTAGTTTAGAAGAGAACGTCGGTCTTGTAGTGAATTGTGGAACATTTTCATATGCTGAAATGCCACATGATTTTGCTTATATTACCGGCGTAATAGGTACTTTGAGAACACTTATCAGGACAGAAACAGATATACTAAAATATGTATACAATGTGCAGAACAGCACATTTATGCCATTTGTATTCGGACGAAGTAATCGTATCTATAATTCTAAAAATGATATACTAGTGATGAATGAATCTGAATATTTCATGAGAATTTGTGGAGAAATCGACAGTGTATGTAATGCTGATTGTGCTATTCTCGTATTTTTTCAATCAGAAGAAAGATTAATGAAATTTTATGAATCACCAGAATTTTTTATCGAAAAAGAATGATGTACAAATTATAACTGAGACAGTTTCTATAAAGGAAAGAGAGTTGTATATTAAACGTGCAGCAACGATTGGTAGAATTACATTGTTAACTCGAACATTCGGACGAGGTATCGATTTTGTTTGTCGTAATCAACAACTGTTAATTAATGGAGGTATGCATGTACTTCAAACATTTTTCTCCGAGGAACTGTCAGAAGAATATCAAATTATGGGAAGAGGCGCACGACAAGGAGATTATGGTTCCTATAGAATGATTTAGTTAGATAAAGATTTAGAATGGGTCCTTGGTTCTACTTGGAGAGAAGAACGCTGCAAAAGAACTTAGTATAGAGCAATGTAAGGATGAGCATAAAGCTTCTAAAGAATTTATGATAGCATTATCCGAAGGAAACATAAAGACTGTAAAGAAATTTTTGTTGAACCACAATCTGGACGCAAGTTTAGTTACGCAAACTTCACGTACAGTTTTGTTAATGGATGCAACAGGTTCTATGTCAAATTTGTTATCTGCTGCTAAGGAAACTGTATGTACAATGTTTGAACGAGCTTCTCATATTTTAAAGGAGCAAATGCTTCCTAGTGATATATTTCAGATGCAAATTGTCATATATCGAAACTATAATTCTAAAGAGAATAAGATTTTGCAAGCTTCTTCTTGGGAGACAAAAGCTAATAATTTAAGAGCATTTCTAAACACAATTAATCCTGAAGGTGGATGGGGACGCGAAGCTATTGAAATAGGTTTATGGCATGCAGTTAAAAAAAGTGAAACGAAAAATTCAATTTCTCAAGTAATTTTAATAGGAGATGCACCACCAAATACGCAAGCAGATGTTAATGAAAAACGAGCAAATCTCGGTCAAGCATACTGGAAAAAGACGAGATTTAGTAAGCCAATATATTATGAGTATGAATTACAAAAACTAAAAGAGAAAAATATTCCTGTGCACGCATTCTACCTTATTAGTTATGCAAAGAGTGATTTTCGAAAAATTGCGAAAGAGACAGGAGGACGTTATGAATATCTAGATATTCATTCATCTAGCGGTGCTGAATCTCTGACTGACTTTGTAACAGAAGAAATTTTAAGAAGTGCAGCTGGTGATCAAGGAGATGATGCTGTAGAACTATATAGATCGAAATATTCAAAGAAAACTTACACGTTTTGATGTCTTATTTTTCTCTCTTGATCCTTTTTATTTTCTTATTTGTTTTTGCTTGTATTTCTTTTATTTTTATTAAAATTCTACTTAAAAATTGTCTTTTGATTACAGAAACATTCTCTTTTTGTTGAATGTGTGTTGATTGATCTATCATTATGTTATATGATATACTTTCTTATTTAGTGTGTTCTTATACAGTCAATGATACGAAGTGTTCACACTTGCGTGACTGTTATGCTCATCAATGCATGACTGAGGCTTATTCTCTTACTCTTATAATGTGCTTCTCATTCTATATCATCATTCACTCGTGTATAATCTACTATTCTCTCCTTGGCCATATCCACATTTATTCTATGCGTGTACGTAAAGGTATATTGTATATGTAAATGATATGAAGGAATGGAATAAAATATAACATTACATGAGTATCGTCGAGAGTTGTATTTGTTATCTGATGATAAATAAAAATTTGTTTATTTCTGTCATTTTTACAGTCTACCTGTGTTGTTAACAATGATAACAAAATAACACTTACTTTCTTGTGTTGTTCTATCTGACGAAATGCACATAAAAAAAAATCTTAAAACAGTCTATAACCTTTGAGATACTTATCAGTTAATGAAAAAGAAATGTCGATATATAAATACCGTAGAGAAATTATGTAATGGCTGATGAAGCTAAATATATTTCATCGAATACAATTCAGGTCAGCTAAATAATTCCTAGGAAAAAAAGCATTCAACGAAGTTCATGATGTTTTTAAAAATGAATTCTAATAAATTATTTGAGCTTTCGAACATATTCACTTATAAATCGATAAGATAATGTTGGTTTGATTGTTATTCATTTTCATAAACGTCATGAGTTTCATTGATTTTTTATTTCTTAATATTATTGAATATTATATATCAATTAATAATAATGCAATATGTAACTGATTTAAAATAACTTCATACAATATATATTATAGAGATATAAAACGAGGGAGACCATATTTTTTTACTACAAAGACAAACAACTAATTCTAAATGACATCCGACAAATCTAGACCAAGTCCAATCTTATTGGCTAATACATGGTCACGAATACTTTATAGGTAAATATATATATTCTATAATCAATTTAATTTCTAAAATAAAACAATTCTTTAGTTGGATATCTGAATTACATGATACAAGTCATCGACAGAAAACACTTCATCTCGCTGATCTTTATGATCTTCTTCCTGAGTATGAGTCAATTAAACTTACAGAAAAATTAGAAAACAATTGGTTTGATGAGATAAAACGTAACCCTGATAAACCAAATCTTTTTTATGCTACAATGCGTACAATAAGATGGAAACCATTTTTACTTGGTTTTCTATTAATTCCTTATGTAAGAAAATATTTTTTGTTGTTTTAAATTTTACTATATTTAATCACTTTTCTTTTTGAAAGAGAATTGGAATCCTTACTCAACCATTGTTAATTGTATCTCTAATGAGATTCTTCGAACCATGCTCCACTATGTCTATACAATATGCATGTTTTTTGGCTATTTTAAGTATTTTAGCTGCTCTATGTTCAAGTTTTTTTTATCATAGAGTAAGTATTCAATTTTTCTATCAAGATAATATTATTTCATTTTATTTATTAGTTTTTTTTCTCAATTTATGCATGTGCCATGCAAACACGTGTTGCCTACCATGGTTTAATCTATCATAAAGTAAGACTAGACATTTGAATGCAAGTGTAAATGTTTAATTAAGATTTTATTTTAGATTCTTCGTTTATCAAGTCGTTCTCTGACTGCAATGAGTTCCGGTGAAATCGTTAATATATTTTCTAATGACGCCTGTCAAATTGAAATGATTATACATTCAATTAATTTTTTATGGGTAAGAGATTTGAGTTGTGACCATCATTTCAGATTTCTTCTTTTTTTTTCAAGCTGACTATAGTTGATATTATTGTGATGACTGCATTTTTCTGGTATTTTGTTAATTATATTGCATTTATTGCTATTGGTTATACATTACTACTTGTTTTACTTGTTGTTCTTATGAGTCATCTCTTAGTTCATTTTCGGTAAATTTTGTTTTGATTAATTTCGTCTTGTGTATTGTTCTCTTATCAACTTTAAGGCTTAAAATTTTAAAAGTAACTGATGAACGAATAAACACAATGTCGGAAATAATTAAATCCATGCGTATTGTAAAAATGTATTGTTGGGAATCAGCATTTGTTAGAAAAATTAGTGATATTAGAAGGTATGTCTTTGTTTAATTAATGTATTTATATTAGAATGATCGAAATTTTTTTCTTTCTAGACGTGAAATTATTCGATGTGCATTACGTTTCATACCTGAAACTGTTGAATTGTTTTTTTCACAAACATATAGTTGTATAACATTTTTTATTACATACGCAGCAATGTGGTCATTAAATATACCTTTCGATACACGATTCTTTGCTGTTGCAGCATGTATTCTTAGTTATTTAGGATTTGTTATATTAAGTTTTGGTAATGGTATACGTTATTTTGGTAATTATTTGACAGCTGTTAAACGACTTCAAGTTAGTTATTCGTTGAACGACTATGAAAAAAGGAATTATTTTTTGTGTTTGTAGAAATTTCTTTTATTGGACGAATCTGAAAGAGATCGTCGATTATTTTATGAATTAGATGAATCAATAGATAAAACGAATATTGACGAGCAACATGCGATTCAAATACCGATGAAAAAAATGATCAAAGTTGAATGTAACTTGAAACGAGCCGGATGGGAAAAAGTAAATAAATATATTTTCTTGTTTTTGTTTTAGCTATTATTGATCTTTGTCTTTAAATAGAATGAATTATTTGCATTAGAAAATATTGTATTTACTGCTTATACAGGTGACTTGATTTGTATTATTGGATCAGTCGGATCTGGCAAAGTATGTAGATTTATTTGTAATAAACTCCTACTTTATCTTTCAAATATATATATATATATATATGTAGAGTTCTCTATTACAAACTTTAACAGGTGAAATACCTTTTTTTGATGGTCAAGTTCGACTTCAAGGTTCATTCTGTTATGTGCCACAAGAACCTTGTAATTTGATTATGATATTAATTGATCGATTTATTTCGCTTTTTTTTATTTTGATAGGGATCTTTTCATCAACTATAAAAAGAAATATTCTTTTTGGTAAAGATTATGATCCTGGATTATTTCGACGTGTTATTAATGCAACTGCACTGGACACAGTATGTTTTATTTCATATGAATAATTGTTTTATTGATGGTTAGCAATGATTAGGACTTAGCTCATTTACCACACGGAGTAAATACTCTTGTCGGCGATCAAGGTGTTATGTTATCTGGAGTAAGAAAAAATCTTTTCGTTGACATAAAGTCTAATAGTGAATTTTATTTAGGGTCAAAAAGCAAGAGTAAATATGGCAAGAGCATTGTATCGTGATTCTGATATTTATTTATTAGATGATCCTCTTTCGGCTGTTGATGCTAAAGTTTCGAAACATCTTTTTGATAAGTATGTTTATTATTGATGATAATTAATAAATAAAATAAGAAAATTGCAATATGATGATTCTAGATCAATAAAAGGTTATTTATGTGACAAAATTTGTATTCTTATTACTCATCAAATTCAATTTTTACGTGGTGCAACTAAAATTATTGTACTTGAAAATGTATGTTTGAAATTAAAGTATATTTTCATAAGAATACATTGAAAATTATTTGTATATGATAGGGTAAAATGGTACAAACAGGAGCATTTGATGAATTAATTGAAAGTTCATCATTATTTTGTCATTTATTAGAAAATATTCATCAACAAGAAAAGGAACAATCTGAATCTCCGACTAATTTTCAACGAAGACATTCGATTAGACATTTAACTGTTATAGAGAGTGAAAAGGAAGATGGATTTGCATTAGATTCAGGAAGTTTTGAAACACAAGAAAAAGGTTCAGTTAAATGGAATGTATATGCTACATATTTGCAAGAAGGAGTTGGTACTTTTCTTGGTATTTTTATTTTAATATTGATGTTTGGCTTTCGTGAAGTAACATCTATTGTCTACAGTTGGTGGTTAGCAAAATGGAGTGATGATGAAGGTTATCGACATCGGCATCAAATTAATTGTACAGAAACAATCAATGAAAATATCAATATAATACGTTCAATGGATAATACAGAATGGAATGAATATCGAAATGATCGTTTCTATTTTTATTGTGGTTAGTAATGTATAAATCACAGAAGTTTAAGACATTTTTTCTTCTAGGAATTGGATTAGTTCTCTTAATTCTTAGTTTTTTGCGTATCATTACTCTCAAAACAATATGTTTGAATAGTGGAAGAAAACTTCACAACAAGTAATTATGGTTCATTTGAATTTTTCACTTGCTTTTTTTGGTGGTTTTTATTAGAATGTTTCAACGATTGATTCGTTGTCCGATTTCATTTTTTGACTTAAATCCTATCGGTAAGTTACATTAATCGTGTTATCATATTAATCATTCAATGATTTTATTCAAGGTCGTATATTAAATCGTTTTACTAAAGATATATCTATTGTGGATGAATATCTTCCATGGACATTTTTTGATTTTCTCGAAGTAAATTTTAAATATATTAAACTTATATCTATTTTAATTTATTTATTCAGCGTCTTTTTCAAGTACTGGGTGTAGTTGCTCTTGTTAGTTGGCTTAATCCATGGTCATTTATACCAGCAATAATGGCAACTATTGGTATGTTATTTATTCGTCATCGTTTTGCTCGATGCTCGAGAGATCTTAAACGACTTGAAAGTACAGCAAGAAGTCCAATCTATTCCTATTTAACTTCAACGATTCTTGGACTTAAAGTTATACGATCTTATCATGCTGAAAAAACTTGTTTATCAGAATTTTTCTCACTTCTCGATGATAATTCACGTGCTAATTATCTATTTCTAATAACAAATCGATGGGCAGCGATTCGTTTTGATTGGATTACCATATCTTTCATTGCTTTTGTAACAGCAATGGCAGTAATTGTACGTACTACTGGTCGACTATTTTCATCTGCCGATATTGCTCTTACACTTTCATTCAGTCTTAATCTTATGGGTCTTCTACAGTGGGCAATTAGGTTTGTGCGATAGAAAAAAAAATCTAATTGTAAAAGATTGTTTATATCTTTCTTCTAGACAATCTGTTCAGCTCGAAACACAAATGACATCCATCGAACGAATCCTTGATTATTGTGCACTTGAACAAGAACCACCTGCACAAGTATCACCAAACGATCAACCACCGACAAGTTGGCCATCGCATGGTGAAATTATTTTCAATGATGTTAGCATGTCTCATTCGAATCTTCCAGATGCACCTCTTGCTCTTAGAAACATTTCATTAATTATAAGACCTGGTGAAAAAATAGGCATTGTTGGAAGAACAGGTGCTGGAAAAAGTTCATTTATTCAAACCATATTTCGTATGGGTACACTTGTTAATGGACAAATCATTATTGATAATATTGATATATCAACAGTTGGATTAGATGATATTCGACGCCGAATTTCAATTATTCCACAAGATCCTGTTCTTTTTACTGGAACAATAAAAAGTAATCTTGATCAGTTCGGTGATTATTCAGATGTTGAAATATGGCGTGCACTTGAACAAGTTTGTCACTATTGATAAATGCTTTTTTTTTATATAATTGTTCATTCATATAGGTACAACTTAAAAAATTAGTTAATGATATTATGCCTCATGGTCTTCATTCACATGTTTACGAAGGTGGTTCAAATCTGAGTGTTGGACAAAAACAATTAGTTTGTTTAGCAAGAGCTATATTAAAAAGGAGTAAAATACTTGTCATTGATGAAGCAACAGCTAATGTTGATAATGCGTAAGTAGAAGAAGAACAAACATAATTTTTTTAATTAAAATTATGTAACTCTATTATGATTTAGAACGGATGCATTAATACAAAAAGCTATTCGAGAACAATTTCAAAATTGTACAGTATTAACAATAGCTCATCGATTACGTACAGTTATTGATAGTGATCGTATTATGGTAAGAAAGATTAATATTATTCTAATTCTAATGAGTAAATTTATGTTTTTTCAAGGTAGTTGGAGATGGAAGAGTATTGGAGTTCGATACACCTCGAGGATTACTTTCAAATATAAATTCTCAATTTAGTTCTTTCGTCAAACAAACAGGACCAGCTGAAGCTGAACACCTTCGAACATTAGCAACTAATATTAAATTTAATACGGAAAATAATCAAGAAATATTTAGTAATAATGAAACTTCATTAGGACATGATCATGAAACTGTTCCTCTTATTTCCTCATTAATTTCTATTTAATTAAATACAACTCTATAATGTGTTCTTTTTGTTGAAGTCGCTAGTGAACCATGCATGAAATGCAAGGGGGGAAAAACGTCAATTGAATATAAAAAAAAAGGAAGTAAACAATAAGATTTCGTTATAAAAAAAATCAATGAAATATTGAAAAATTACAAACAACATTTTCAAAGAGGCGAAACCTTAATTTTTAATGATTGTTGATTTTGTTTTTATGCAAACGCCATACCTATGTAAATAACACACATATGAATCTTTTGAATACATATATACTTTATATCAAAACATGTCATTAACATAGCCCTGTTGAAACTGAAATTCAGAAGCCAAGTAAAATCATTACGATAGCTAGTTTGCAGATTAATCAATCTCTAAAGCAATGACTTTTCTAAGTTTTATATTTTTCTTATTAAATTCATCAAATTAGTTGACAATTAAGTCGATTTTCCGTATTGATATTATCCATAGAAGACACTAAGTACTATTGTTATGTCGAACGCATTCAAAGTAATGTATTAAAGAATGCAGACAAGTCTAATATCTGTTATAATAGATTACTAAGATCCATAATAGACTTGGTTAGGGAAATTGAAAAACTTCAATCAAACCCAGTCGAGAATTTTTTTTTTTCATTGGTCCACAATTAAAATTCGACAATTGATCTGATATTTTTCTCATAAGCAAACTCTGACAAAACCTTCAGTACGAGTACTACTACAAACATAATGTGTTATTATAAGAGTTGACTTGTTCTTGCTCCGATCATCAATGCATTCTTTTTGATTTTGCCAAAAAGTAGTGACATGAAATGACCATGACGTTCAGTCAACATTTTCTTGTATTATTTCATTGTTTTAATCAGTTACTTCATACAAGAATCTCTTATTGTTGTATCCTTATGGAAATATATTCATAACATCAACATTATCAGTTGGTCTGCATTGATCCCCAATCACTCTGTTAGTGCTTTATAAATAAAAAGATTTATTCTTGGAATCACACTGTTTTACAATAATCATGATGAAGGCTTTTTGAAATTATTTGTTTTTACATAAATATTAACAATCTTCTGACAATAATACATCATCTAGATGGTATCTTTTATCTAAGTTAAATAATTTTTTTGACTCATAGTCACTAATATATTGTTTAGTTTTTTTTTAATTCGATCAGATCGAATGTTATAGTAACTAAAATTCAAAAAGAATAATTCAAATTAATAGTTCATACAATATCAAATACAATCAAGGAAAAACTAACACAGTACGTTCGTGTGGTTCTTTTTCTAATAACCGTTTAACATCTAGTGCTACCGGTCGAATTCCTGAGAAAGGATAAAATTTAAGAGCAGATGAATATTTATATTTAAAAGAAAAGTCATGATACTTGAAATGCTCGAAGATGATACAGGTAGGCCCTGATATGTTATAAAATTGACTTCGCATTCATCAACTGCAAGTTTGATAATAGTGAATATTTGTCTAAGAAAATATCAATATAGAAATATTGCACAAAAAGTTAGCACGGCTACAATATTATTTTGACGTGTTTTTCTTTTTCTATGTTACATAAGTTACTCAAAAAGCATTTATTTCTTTGAAGTGAAATGTTCTCCTACAATTGTAAATATGAAAGTAAAATTACAGGTATACTTACGTAGATTCATATTGATTGGCTTTAAAAGTTGTCGAACTAACAAGTTCTTCATCACTCATAAACTTATATTTTGGATGGATATCCGGCTCATGTTTGCTGTCAGTCAGTATTGTCGCTTTTAAAACTTTGTTTGTTAACGCTGTACATGCGTATAGTTCTGGAATCTTTGCAAGACAAATGTTAATAATAAGAACATCAACTAGCTGGTCATAACTTACAATATATGATACATGTAAATTATTTTGATTGGTCCTTTGATACAATAAATCTTGTGATCATGTCAATTGTGTAATTATTAATTTGTTTGACTTGTAATCATATTCACTCATGAGTACTGAATAATTAACTAAATTAGGAAGAATATTTCATAAAAAACAGTATGCACTTGATAATAGTTTGAAATTTACCTAGTTCGAAAACGTTTGAGCAAAATAAAATATTTGGTTCTGGTACAAATCCGTTTTTCTGAGGATCCCATTGTGTGCAACGAAGTACGATATATATATATATGATGCACATGGAGCAGTTTGAACAATTTAATAGATGTTATATTTTTAGCTTTTTTCTTCATCTTTTGATTTTTAATCTACAAATTCCAATGTTGAGACTGGAATTTAATGAAGTAAATTCTTGGACTCTTTGATATAAAATTTTTACTTACGGAAAAAGTTCATTGTTGATAATTCCCTCGTTTTCCAAATTGAAGATAGAAGGATTTTCAAAATTAAAATTTTCATTAACACTACGAACGAATGTATAAGGAGCAAGATAAAAACATCCGTCAGGACCTTTGAATACCATTGTACATTCAATTTGAGCATTGTCAAATGCCAAAACTGGCTAAACAAAATCAGAAATCAAATTTAATTACAAATATAATAACCTACCCCAAAATATAATGATGTTTCGTCCAAACAGTCTTTCAGTTTCGGAATTGCTTTTCTTATGCTCTCCATGGTAAAATCACTTTTCATGTAGATACGAAACATGTTCAAAATCGGATGTAATATATATACCAGATAATGAATATCTAGTGTGATTAAAAGAAGAATAAGAAAGGATTGATAATAATTGAGGAAGTTGCAAGGATAGATTTGCAAAAAATGAATATGGATTAAGATGGGATGAAACAAATACTCTCATAATCCTGATCATCACTTCAAACTCATACCCGTATTAGCAACGTTTGATTCACATTTTCATTCATTCGATATAATAACGATTTTTCTCTCAAAGGAATATTAGACTCGGAAATAAAGTTGACTAAAGTAATCCTATCTTGTAATATAGAGTTAAATTTGACAAAAACGTAAGTCAGTATAGGATCAATGTCAAGAAAAATCTTCTCCAATACATCTGTATTAGTAAACTGCATAATTTGTAAAATTATTATTCTTTTGGTATTACAATTGCGTTCTTATCAATATTAATAAAATAATTATAAACAACATACTTTCGGTTCGAATAATTGTTGCTGTTGCTGAATTTTGTTCATTGTTAACCGATGAGTCAACTAAAAAATTAGCGCAGTTTTCAGTGGATTGTTCAGTGTTTTCATGTGCACTATCTGTTGCACTGTTATGAGAATCAGATCCATTGGAACATGGCTGATTGACTAAATCATTGTAATCGGCTGCTACAGAAAGAAATTATAAAAAATGTCTTTAAATAAGATGCAATTAATTCTTAATGATACTGACCATCTAATGGTGTTTTTAAATTATGTTCTTCATTATCTTTCATATTTTGCAAAACTGGCGTTGATAATATATAATAATCGTCTATAAATGTAAGAAGATAAAACATGAAAAATAAGTAAACCATCATATATCAAATCGAATGAATATTATATGTCAAAATGAGAGTGAATTCTTTTTATTGTTTGCCGGATTATACTTTGAATTTCGTTAGAAAATACATTTAGAAACTCGGTTTTTTGTTTTATTTAAATTTTTAGTCTTCATCTTACATGAATAAACAAGTCATTTTTTTTTTCGATTGAGAAATGCAGAACTGCCGTCGTTGATAAACATCATTAACAGGTAGCGTCTTTACTGGAAAAATATGTTTATGCAGCGAATCTGCTTTTTTATCTTGTTTTTTATTGTTAGGTCGTTCATCATGATGCAGCATTATTTTCAGAAAGATCAAAGTACTCTGTGCAAAACTCTTACGTTGTGTATGATTCTAAATAGAGAAAATTAGGTAGTAGCTTTTTTTTGCTTGTTCTTTTCTATTTTGAAGTATCACCGATTATTCTTGAGTTTAAAAAAAAATGAATTAAAATCCTGAGCAAAATTTTATGAAATCACAGTGAATAAAAAAGAGATTCGCTTAAACTTTGTAAGTCATTATTGTTACATTAACTATGATATTTTATGAAATTTTTGCAGTATATGAAGAAAAAACAAAGTTGAAACTTGAACAATGTTTTGAACATGAAATGCTCATAGTCTTACTGAATGTGTATATTTCTTCCTTATCTGATCGATGAAGACTTCACAAAAGACGAATGTTATTTAATTTTAGGTTCTTATTTGTGAATTGTGAACAATAAGCATTTACAATTCTAGAAATATCATGTTATACTGTAATTTTTTGTTTTGTTCAAATGAAATCGAAGGTATTGATAATTACTAAGCTTATATTAGCTAAGTGGAAAAACCCTTTACAATTGAATCCTGTTGGGTTTCAGAAGATTTCTTGGTAACAAATGCATGACTGATCACGTATGAAAACACATGGCATATAAATCGTTCTTTAACATTAAAAGTTAAACTTGAAATATCTAATACGTCGAATGTTTCTACCAGACATTTCATTGATAGAAAAATAAAAATCAGTAGAAAATCGAAAAACATTAAAGAGTTGATTAGAAATAAAACTTGAAATGTAGATATAATACTTTGTAGACCGAAAATTTTAGTTGTCACACAGCAGTAGAGAGGACTTTCAGTTATGATAAACATTTCTTATCAATAAAATATGCAAGCATTGATATACATGACGTACTAGTATACAAACATTAAAACCGTTTATTTCAAGACACTTTATAATTAATCTCTGAATTCAGCCATGAATATAATTTAACAAATATATATAAACGCTTCACTTGATTTATTTTGTTTATGGTTAACTTGCGTAAAGACAGTGATTGCAAAATGATGAGGACATCAAGCTCATATACTAACTAACGAGAAAACATTAAGCTAGTATTCTACTTTCTTAGAATGATTGATATCTTTTTTTGTAGTACATTTCTTGAAAAAGATATATATCTTTCAATGGAAGATAATCACTGCTATTGCGTACACATTTAGTATATGCAACAAAAACAGAATATTTTGACAGTATCTGCCGCAGATTCAATAATTACTAAATGATATGGTTATGTATTTAAACTTTTCTTAGTTAGTCATTTTGATACAACAATTATATTGACCTTTGGTTATCAATGATTTAGTGAAGATCAGCTCTATTGCTAAATTTCACTTAAAATATGAACTTTATCATTTTTACAAGTTAAAATGAAATATAAATTATTATAATTCTTATTATATTTTATTTTCTTGATATTTTTATATTAACTAATTTCAGATCGTTAACAATATGAAAAGGTTTTTTTAATTAGTTATGCATTTATCTCAGAAAAAATATGCAATATAATTAAAACCGATAGAAACGTTTTTCTACTGTTATGTGATTTATAAAATAATTTTATGAAAATCGCAGAATTTGTTTTTATTAAAAAGTCGTACTTTGGTACTGATTAATATGACTGGTTTCGAAGATTTGTTGCTGAGAGATAGAAGTGAATACAAATAGTGATAATTGTGTAATAAAACTAGAGATATAAAAACCAATCCATTAAAATAAAATCGAAACACTTCAAGCAACATGGTATCATGCATTTTTTCAGTAAAGAACAGAATAGAAAAAAATTAAAGAAATCGATTCAACAAATGGAATTAAATTGGTAAATAAACAGGACAAATATTTCACTGAAAAGGATTTCGTGAATTTTTTCTTCTTACTCTTTTTTTTTCGTACTGAACGAAGATAATAACAAAAACATCATCATAATAGACGGTCTACATTGAAATTTTACTATTATAACTCTAGTAATAAAAATGGTTTAATATTCAGAATGTTCAATGGAGCAATATAGAATAATGTAATGCCTCGATTTTTCCTAAACCCAAGCATATGCACAAATAATTCCACTGTAATTACTTTTGGTGTTATACTTCACACGTCTTGCAACTCATTGATTTCAAAAAGAATCTTTCTATAATACAAAAGTCATCATGTATCATTAGTTTTTTTGTTGTTGTAAGATGATCCAAGATTCTGAAATAAACTTCATTACAGGCGAATAGTCATTATTTTCTTTCTCTGAAGAAATATCTTTCGCTATAAAACTGAATGTAGCTAATATATAACATAAAATATATTTTTATCAAGTGATTTGCATATTGAAAAAAAATTTTTTTTGAGGCTGTAAACACATTTCAGAACACCGAAAAGAAAGAAAATATTTTCAATGCTGAGATCCGGCTTTTACGGTGCTTGACAGATCCTTCACTCGACTATGTTCCATAGAACAAGCAAAATATAAGATGTATTGACAATAAAATCCCTCGTAGCATGTGCCCATGTCGTGAAAACCGGCGGTTTACCGCGGTTTTACCGATCCGGTTACCGGCTCCCATTACCGCGGTTAACCGGCGGTTTCTGCGGTTAACCGGCGGTTTCTGCGGTTAAACCGCGGTAAACCGGCAGTTCCATCCGGTAAACCGCAGAGAATTATAGGTGTTGTGCAACCAATATCTATTCTAGGATGTTAATCGATTACAATCGTTCATACCGCTGCTATCTTTCTATCAAACTTTTAATAAAAATATATGACTCAATTGTGTACTATTTATTTCAATTAATTCATTTTCACAATAAATAATAAAACAAAAAAAAGCACAAGTACACACAAACAACAATGATACATGTTTTCAATTTAAGAAGCCAATGGTCCATTTGAATAGCTGTCGACGTGTTCGTCTTGATGAATTTGTGAACTATCATTTGTTGTGTTATCTAGATGGATAAGAAATCAACTCGTAATCATATAAGGTCTTCACAAGAAAAGATGTTAATTAACCCTTTCAGGACCGGCTTATTTTGAGCAAAAATTACAAATTTTTCAATTTTTCAAAAATGATTTATTCTTCTCAGATTTATCAAAATGTGAACATCAGAAGGCTTTCAAAGTGTGATATTGTTTGAAACACTCCGGGTTACATAGTGGAACATCACAATCTGGACAATAAAACCTTGTATCGCTTCGTTTTTTTTCTCGCTTGACTGTATGACTNAAAATATTAGCGGTTTTTCCATTTTTTTTTAAGTTTTAGACGCAGAAAACTCGCTCAAAACCTCGCTTAGAACCTTGAAAAATTGTTTTCTATAGGTTTGACGACGTGCTCTTTCATTTGGATAGGTCAAAAAAGATTTTTAGTGAAAATGGTTTTTCGGCTGAAAAACCAAGATCTTTAAAAAACGGGTCTTTAAATCAAAATCGTGCAAAAAACCATTGTGATATTCGGAATCAGCACGTTCGATTACCTATTATCAATTGAGTTTCAGCTCAAAAGCGAGGAGACAGTTGGTGGCCTTCCCTCGTTAGAGAGAGATGCTCATAAAATCACTAACAATCTACTCAAGGACAATAAATAGTAGACATGAGTGTAAATAAGAATGTTTAGTGCACTCTTCTATTTAAGTATGAAGCGTTACACGAGAGTAAGTAGTTGTCGCTTTAAACATTTTCCATACTCCTCGATAATTTTTCCTCATTTTGGAGCTTCTGTCTCCTGTGATTTTCGTAATTTGATATTGAATGTAGATTTTTTGTTTTTCGTAACATTTTGATAAATTCAAAATGTACATGTCATCATTAAATAACTGTTTACCAGCGAGATCATCTACAAATCCATTTCATGGAATAAATTTTTATCTTTTATCTCGTGCTACTCTCATCCTTGTGTGATGCTGTACATGATTAAATCAATGTCTACAAATAAAGATTTATTGGAAGTGAAATAGGAACCATACTTCTGTGAAGCATACAACTAACTCTATATTACAACTAATGTTGTAACGCCCAACAGTCGCTTTTCCGATTGTATATCAACGTCTATTACGATCTGTCTGAGAGAAGGGAATCCAAATTTCTATTCCTCATGCTTCAACATTTGTTTTAGATCATATTTCACAAAAAATTATAGAAGACATCACCAATGAATCGATTAAAGAGATTAAATTTTCTACCGTGACCAAAAAAAGGATTGTAAATTTTAATAAATTATTTGTTTTGTTTTGTGATGTAAATCCATGTTTAGTTACAAAAGCGCGAAAATGATTTCATATTGTAAAAAGAAAAATTATTGATTCTTTTAATACTTACAAGACAATGTGTAGTTTCTGGTCTTAATGTTAAAAAATCCCAATAGGCATCATAATCAAAAAGATTAGTAACAGGATTTCGTTTTTGTGAATGTACAAGTGATGGATAGAGAATTGGATCACGAATAAAGAAAACCGGTAAATGATTACAAATTAAATCAAAATTTCCGCAATCAGTATAAAATTTAATCGCCATACCACGTATATCACGTATAGTATCTGAACTTCCTAATTCACTACGAAAACGTGAAAATCTTATTGCTATTGGTGTTTGTTTATTTCGTGTATCAAGAAAATGTGCTCGTGTTAATGTTGAACCAATATCTGTTGTACATTGAAAAAATCCAAATGCACCTGAACCTTTTCCATATGAACATCGTTCAGGAATCTTTTCTTCATTAAATTGACCTAATTCATCAAGTAAATATGTATCTTGTAAAAGAATTGGACCACGTGAACCAGCTGTTAATGAATAAACTTTATCACCAATAGGCATACCTGATAAACTAGTCATAAGAATAGGTTCATTATTTGAACGATATGTTTGTAATTGATTAGCTGCTACATCACGATTAAGTAAAAAAAGTGCTTCACTTGGTGATATAGTATTTTGAACAGTACCAGAAAGTATATTATTTGATTGATTTTGCATGTCAATAGACAAACAAATAAATTATAGAATATCCTTAGCAACATAAGATTTCTTTTTCGTTTTGAAATATGAGCATAAATATTACTTTTTTTTAATAAAAATCATAAGTTTTCCTTTTTGCTTATTTTCACGAACATTAAACTGATTAAATCAAATTCAAGTACCTAATAAAATCGAAAGATATTGACTAACAGTTTTATTTGTACTGTCAATAGTTACAATAATAAATGTAATTAACTTTACAATCAAGCAGAGTACCTTCTTTTGCAATAAAATATATATGACTATAGTCATCATAAAACTAAATGAGAATCGGTTGAATAAAACTTTTCTACTCATTCTCTTTGTTGCATAAAAAATGGTTATATGAGAATTGACTTCCGGAGTAGAGAGAACTACAGTCAACAAGAGATGTTGTATGCATATAGCATTGATTAACTATGTATGAGAGCATAGGTGTTGTTCGATTGGTGTAATTAGAAATGAATAATAAAAAAAAGAAGAACAATGAAGATAAAAATGTGCTTTTATAAAATATTTTCGTATTTTATTACTATTAGCTTAATATTCGTGACTGTTAGGTATGTTCGTTTGTAATCTTCTACTCATTTCTGTGTTTTACAGTTGTAATTGAAGCTCAATAAGAATGCAGTTTTATTGAACAAAAAATTGGTTTATTTTCTCTCATTCATGTTCCTTTCATATTTATAAGTATTTGCGTGACTACAATAATGATCAATATAGTTGTTAGTTGCATCAGCGAATTCTTTTTGTTCCCAATAGCTTAGAGAGAGAGAGAGAGAGATGATAATGTGTTACCGTTGTTTCTCAACGCTCCTTCAATGATTATAACAAGTGCGTAGGTAGAATATCACGTCGCATATATTTACTGATGACAATCTAGGTTTTTTAGTCATCATTGAAATGCATAGAACGAGAAATACACACCTGCATGTTGTCGAGCAAATTCTTTTTTTATTTTGCTTGAACTTTTACTCTCCTTCTTTTTTCTAACATGTTTTTACTTTTTTTTCTTACCTATTTTGCCGATTTCTTTCATATTAGTAAATCTAAAAGGAATATTAATATTTGATTCACAATGAAAACTATAATAAAGTAGTCGCTCGATCATTCAGTACTGAATGTGATCCTTCTGTACAGAAAATCAGTACGTATGAAAGATTGTAACATACGTCTTACTACATCTTATTATTTATTATTTGTTTATTATTTAAATGAGAATGAACAAAGGATGTGAATGATTATTTAATGATGCTTTATTGTTGTAGATCAAACAGGAACTTTCATCGTCTTTACTTCTCAAAGTTTTATTTGTTTACAAGGAAATACAAAAGTATACTTGCAAATTATCGTTTTCTCTACAACATTACCGTTGCTAAGTGTCAAAAATCTTTCAATATTTCGTAATATTTAATAAGACATTTGACAAAGCATGCACTGAGCTATTTTTTGTTCTTTCTTGCCATATGAACGTTGTAGATAGAAATGACAAACTAAAGATAGTTATTGAATAGAAACCAGACAAAGGTTTGTTAGTCTCCCAATACGTGAAACTAGACAGAACACAGAATAGAAAAAATGATGAAGAAAGAGAAGAAAACGAGAAGAAGAATTGACGATCCGAAGATCGTAAAGAATTCTCTCGGTTTTTTTTTGTCATGTGCTGATAGTTTCTCGTCGCGTACTTATTGAGCTAACTGACTGGAAAATTTTTTTATGTGCCGTTCCGAACGACTCGATGTCCGGTTATTATTTTTTTTTGCATGCATATAAAACATCAATGATAATTATTCCGGCAGGATTATGGTTTCTTCGACAAATAAAATTCTTATTTTTAAAGTGTCGTTGTTCAACGTCACATACATGAAACCCCTAGAGTGAGTGAATACATTACTTTATGCTTCAGTGTTTTTCATGAGCTACCTTATAAGAAAAATTTTGAACCATGTCACTGACTAGATCTTATTATAACGTTAACAACTAAAACATAATATATTCTAATGAGTAACCTCAAGGCAATGATGTATCTTATATCGAATAACAAGATTGAATTTATTAATGCATCTTAATCAATGCCCTTCTATCAAATAGAATAGAAAGTAATTCTTTTTCTTTCTTATATATATGTTATAGTGAGAAAAATGAATAAGATTATTTCGGAAAATAATCTATTTGACAGACAAGACATTATCGGTTTGTTTACTTTTTTTTTTTTTTTAAATAAAAAAAAATGTTAGTAATTATGATAGATGAAATCAGATATTGATAACATAATAAGTATACAATTGCATGATATAAACAATTATAAATAAAATTCGTTTGATTGTGTATAATTACTAAACTTCTGTTGTTATTATTTTTCTTTGTCATATTTAAAATATATATTCATTTGATAATTTAGTAAGTTGACTGCAATTAATGGATAATTGCGTCAAATACATTTGCTTAATTGAAAAGAAAAAAAAATATGACGGAAATTCATGCTTGAAAAGATGTTTATTAATAGAAAGAAACCTTTGCATGAGAATGTTTTTAGTTGGTCTTCTAGAAGTTTTTTTTTTTTAAATATTATAAAATATCGTATTTTTGAAGAATTAACTATACATCATAGGTTAAATAAGAAAAAAAATATGTCTATTATGAACCTTCAAGTCTTCTTTTTCGGCCATAATTAGATTGAATCTATCGAAGATTAGATTTTGAATATCATCATTTTTTCATGTTTAATAACAAAAATATGATGCCACTTGTTATGCCTTCTTCACCACTTTTTTTAATCATTGTTTTTCCAAAATACAAGGAAAAACATCTTTTCTTTTATTGTAGGGCATGATACGATTTTAGTTAGATATGTAAGAAATAAAACTATGTGTTCTCGTTTCTTCAAGATTTTCTTTTTTTTTGTTCGTTCGTTCGTTTTTTTTTGTTTTGCTACCAAGAATTTTATTCAGTAGTTGCTATGCTGTTGTCTTTCATCTTTCATCGAATACTGTCACATAAATTTTCAATAGCTGAAGAATGTAGAAGTGCACTTTCGTTCTACTGTCAACATAGTTACCTTTCTGATTTACTGTACATTTCAATTTTCTTTCAGACAATGTAAGTGTAAATTTATTCTTCTTTTTTTCAATTTAATTCATCTATTTTTCTATTTGTCTTTTCTTTTTTACTTCAGAATGAATTACAATCTGTTATTTATGATGAACATCATTCGATAATTCTTGATGATGCACCCGACGAGTAGAGTCGGGCCTCATCCAGCTGTATGGCTTTTGTTCATATTACGTTTACGAAAATGTATTAAACTACGATATTTATCAATCATATTTTTTTCTCTGATTATTCTTACTTATTTACGTCTTAATAATAGTGTACTGTCTAATCAACAAATATCTAAGAAACATATATCTATCAATAATGACGAAAGAATTTCTCATCATGAAGATAATGATAATCATCATCTGTTAGACAAATGTAATTTTGACACAATTGAAGTTTTACTTCGATATAAATCTTTAAAACAGTCAAATAATGATAGTGATGATAAACGTCCAAAGCCAACAATTGAACGTTTACATAAACTTTTTTCAATACTTATTTCTCATGAAGAGAAGTATCGTACAGTATTTAATTATTTAGGTATATTTCGTTTTACTGATTTGTATAATACTTTACGTCCATTTGCAAATAATACTAAACGTCTACATGAAATTTATTGTCTTTTTCAACGTTATATAACTATATCAGATAATGGTCATATTGATATTACACCACATTTTATTTATTATTTAAAACAAGTATCTAATTATTTATCAGATGGTTTTACCAGTGAACATCCAACATGGAATAACATATCAATAAAAAATCTACAAAAACCGGTTATTATTCTTGCAGCTAATGCACGTTTTTATGATACATTACAAGCATCAATGCGTACAGTTAATCAGTATTTCTATAATTATAGTGTGGCTGTATATAATCTTGGCTTTGATACAAGTCAATTAAATATGGTAAAATATTCTCATTTTTTTTTTCTTAAAATAATAGAAAATATAATCGACAACAAAATCAGAGAATATGAAGAAGATTTCTTTTACCAAATAAGAAAAAAAAATGAATAATTTATCCTCAAGAAATTATTTTGTTTTTTAGTCAAATCATTGCAAAACCATGAAGAATCAATCAGACATCTGACAGTCATTCTAGCGAACACATACAGACTAATTGATTTTCCTCCACTCGATAACATTCGACAAGTGTTTCAAGCTGTGTTTTCTTTTCTTATATAGATTTCATTGCTTTATTTTGAATTCTATAACGAGAATGTTGGATACACATACACACACACCTTGAAATATGTATTACATTTTTAATTGACAAAAACTAGGTCGATAGATTTTGTTTTTCAAAATGAACATCTAATTAATAAAATTTATTTTCTTCACAAAATATTTCATGCTATTAGGTCAAACATGAAAAAATACAATTATCATAGAAACAATGCTTGAATATCAATGAGTTAGATCAATGTCACTCATGTTTCATTCAATATGAAAATAAAAGAAAATGAATAAAAACATATTGCATCGTAGTATAGCAGTAAAGTGATAATGAGTTATTTCAAGTCCACTGCCAAAATAAAAAAGTTTTACTAATCTCAATGGCAAAATGAAGAAAAAAAGTTCGTCTCACACATATCTCAATGTATTCAGAAAGAAATAAGAGAATGATAGTTATTATCAATTTTAGTAAGTGAACGTTTCTACAAGATCTTAAAGGAGTGTTGAAGTATATAGGGTAGAAATATATTCCTTTCCCTCCTCCGCCCGACAGATTTTTTTATATCAATTAACGTATCGTTTTAATTCCTTATTGTATTTCTGGACGATTAAGTACAAGGATGATGAAGAGATATGTTATAAAATACATAGTTTCTATATTGGTAAATGCAACGACACCATTTGTCATATTCTAATTCC